TGGAAAACGACGGCCGCGCGCCCTCTCGAGGAGCGAAAACGGAGATTTCACCATCGTTGCGTCGGGGTGGGGGTTTTGTCCACCCCGACTTTCACCGACCCTCTCACCATCCGCCCTTCTCCTCGCGCGGCCGGCCCCTGGGGCAGCAGAACATCCTTCGTGTTGGGCGCGAACTGGGGGGGGGGGGGGGGATAGAAGGGGGAAGGAGGGCGATAGAATGGGGGGAAGAAGGTGCCCTTTTTCGGGCCCTAGAGGCCCCCTTTGGGGCCCCCAAAGGGTCCCTCTTCTGCAACCACTGCTGCCCCCCAGTTATCGTCCCCCTCCACTGCGCGACGCCCAACTCGAGAGCATGAGACCCTCCGCCAGCCAAACTGGAGATTCAATCTAGGGTACTCCAGATTTCGTAGTAAAAGGGAGGGGGTCTGGCCCCTCCAAGACAAGCCATTTCAGACCTCCCCCGTGGGAGAACCCTCCAAAACATCGTCCCCAGACCCCCCCAGGCCCTCCAAGATAGCCTGGAAGAGACCCCCCCCGAAATGAGACCCCCCTCCCTTTATTACGAAATCTGGGGTATTTTTTTTCTCGGCGAGGACCCCTGAGGAACATCCTGGATCATCGAGCGAAAAAAACACGCACGAAACCGAAAAATGCACGGGAGATGGACGTCCGAGCGAAGGCAAGTCCCCCTTCCGACACTCCTCTGGCTCATTCGTTTAATCTTCCCCCCGTCCTTTCCCCCCCTCCCTCGCCTCGCCCGCCTTCTCCTCGTTCGTCGCCATCCTCTCTCCATGTCCCCTCATCTCCCGCCCCACGTTTCTCGCTCTCCCTCGTGCTCCTGGCCCCACAGGTCACCGTCACCCTCAAGAACAAGCGCACAGTGGTGCTGGCAAACCCAGAGAAACACGCCCAGGCGACTTTGACAGAAGGCTTCACCGTTGACTACTTAACCTCGCGCCTGCCGTTCTCTTCTTACGGTCCTCTGGGCTGGTATCTCATCTCCGAGCTTGTCGTTGTCACTTCCTTCAATGTGGGTGGGCGTAGCTTGAAAGCAATGATCATATTCTGGCTGGGGTTCATCTCGTTGCGGAGGAGGAATATATATATATATATATATATATATATATATATATGTTCTATACATACATACATATATATATATATTCCCTTTTCTATATTTTTACAATCCGGGGGGGTGGGACCCCCCCCCCCGGAAAATCGGACCCCCGGGATCTGGCGCTTTTGGGGCCCCCTGGACGCCTTGCAATGGGTCCCCCGGGCCTTCCGGGCCTCCTGGACGCCCCTGCCGGGCCTTGCCAGCGGGCCCAAAGCGGTCAGGAGGGCGGCCAAACGGCCCCGCGAGAGCCCCACGCGGCCCCAGACAGCCCCAAGACGCCCGAAGACGACCCAAAGAAGACCCCCAAGAGGTCCTCCAAGTGCAAAAAACAACACTTTCCTTTAGTTTTTTATTGAATTTTTGGACATTCGGTTCTTCGGTATTCCGTGCGTCCGAGTCCGCCGAAGAGGCCCCAAAAATCCTCCCACAACGGTGTCAAAGGGCTTCCAGACAGTCCAAAAGAGCTCCAATATGGTCCAACAGGGCCGCAAGATGGCCCCAAGAGAGCCCCGCTGACAGCCCCAGATGGCCCCAAGACGCCTCCCGAAGCACTCCAAATCGTGACCCGGTCGTTCAGGGAGACCGTGGTTGGTAGCAAGGTGGCCGCAAGAAGCCCCCAGAGGCCCCCAAAAGGCGCCCAGGAGGCCCCCAGAGGTCCCCAAAAAGCTTTTGAGAGGGGCCCAAGAACACCTCCAAAGAGGAGCCCCTGCAATAAAAACTGGGGATGAGGACAAGGAGTGGCTCGCAGACAAGGAAGATTACGAGTAAGAGGAGAGGAAGTATAAGGATAATACATAACATTACTATAACGACGATGGCGCAGACGGCAACAATGAGTCATCGCTATATTTGGTTATCCTGCATGCCGAGCTTTAAGAACCAAGGTGCATGGCGCGAAGCGCCAATGCAGTCTTGTATATATATATATATATATATATATATATATATATATGTGTATAGCTGTCGGGGTACGGGGCCGGGGGCCTCTGGCCAGCTGCCTCGACTCGCCATGGGGGGACCCCCCCTCCCCGGGCTTCTCCAGATCCGCTCCGGGGCGTCTCCCGAGCGGCTTTGGACGGACCCGGGTGATGTTTCAGCACCAGGAATGGTTCCCATCTTCGACCCATGTCGCCGAAGCACGTGGTAGAGGTTTCGGGAGGCCTCCAACATGGCCCCAGACGCTTCCAGGAGCACTCCCAAGAGAGCACCGGGAGGCCTAAACTGATGGTTTTCCGAGGGTTTCGGAAGGATTTTGACCTTCTGGTTTCTTCGGTTGTACGACGCTCCAAGACGGCCCAGGAGGTCTCCAGGTCCACCCCCAAGCAGCCCCAGAGGCCCCCAAGACAAGCCCAAGGCGGCCCCGGAGAGCCCAAGGCTGGCCCAAGAAGCGCCCACGACAGCCCAAGAAGGCTCCAAAACAAGCCCAAGAAGGGCCCAAGGAGGGACCGCGTACCGAACACCCAGGGCTCCCGCCTCAACAGTGACCCTGGAGGCCCCAGGCAGCCCCCAAGAGTCCTCCAACATGGCTCCAAACGCTTCCAAGAGCACTCCCACGAGGGCCCCAGCAGGCCAAAAAATTATGGTTTTACCATAGTTTTGGAAGGTTTTGGCCTTCTGATCTTTGCGGCTGTCCGACGCTCCTCGGCGGCCCAGAAGGCCTCCGAGACCGCCCCCAAGCAGCTCCAGAAGCGCCCAAGGCCGCCCCGAGGCGGTCCCGGAGAGCCCAAGGCTGGCCCAAGAAGCGCCCAGGGCAGCCCCAAAACAGGCCCGAGAGGTGTCCAAGAGACAGACCGCGTCCGGAAAACCCAGGGCTTCCGCCTCAAGAGAGCCCCAGGAGGCCCCAGGTAGCTCCCAAGAGGCTTCAAACATGGCTCAAGACGCCTCCAAGAGCATCCGTAGCCATTTTGGCTCGAGCCATTCTGGCTCAAGTGCCTCTGTCTCGAGCAGTTGTGGAGCAGATCTTTTCTCGTACCTCAGCTCTTTCCATCGTGCCCCGCTCATGATCTGGCCTCGCATGGGAGTTGCCGCGCTGGTCCTCAGCGCCCTGAACGCTTGCGTCGCCTCCGGCCTGCTGCTGCCGTGGGATGGTGATTTTGTTGTCGACGAGTTGGGGGTGGGCGATCTTGAGGGAGACGATCCAACTGTGGATCCCTCGAGCGTGAGGTCTGTGAACTTGAGGTCTGTGAACTTGCAGCATCCCTACCAGGCAACGTCGCCCGACTTCTACGTCAAGCTGCAAGACGAGATGACAGAACGGCATGCCGCAGTTGCTAAATCTCACGCTGAAGCTCAGCACGGGCGTCCCCCCCCCCCCCAAGAGCATCGACATCGCCTTCAGCCTGACAGAGGGTGCCGATCTCCCTGCCTGGGCCCACGACATCCTCAGCGGATCCTGGGGGATCGGCCTGTCATTGACCGTTTATGTGAAGACGGACGGGTTGGGCAGAGATGAAGAGGTCGTCCTCGAGCGTAGACGAGGTTTCGAGAAAGTGGCGATCGCAAATATCGGAAGGAACGAACACGCGTATGTAAAACACTTGGCGCGGAGATACAATACCTTTCCAGATGTCCAGATATTGACCAAGACGAATGGAGTATCTCCCGACATGATAAGGTCCATGGTGGATGCAAATCGAAATGGTTCCTATGGTTTCATCTCCCACCCATGGGTGTTTCAACGCCGTTACCTAACAGTGCGGTGCGACAGTGCGTGGGAGAACCATGCATTGTTTCCTGAATTCTGTCACGGCAATACGGGCAGCGGCACAATTCGCCCTGTCAAGGAGTTGCCTGGCTGGCTGGTAATTCGCCCTGCTAGAGTTCAACCGGATTATTGCGATTTGAGTTGGCCGCTTTTCAACAGACAAGGGCGGCTCCCATTCTTACATGAAACTCACGGCGAGGGCACATTCTCGATTCGCCGCGATGTGTTGGCACAGTTTCCGCACGATTGGTACCTTACTTGGAGCAATCTCACGTACAGATGTGCCATTCCTGGCTACATGGGAAAGCATCACGACGATGCCATGATGGAGGTTTTCCCTTTAGTGTTCAGCAAGGAAAGGTACATGTCGGACTTTCCCGTGTACCACATCTCGCCGAGCACTGTAGCCTTGTACGACAAGAACTGACAGGGGTCATATATGCCTCCAAAGAGTTTTCCCTCTTGACGCACTTGGCTCAAGAGGAGAGCGCTTGTTGACTCAATAACCAACGTGCGCTTATCGACCAATTGATTGGCGTTTTGACGCCGAAAGCTTCGCCAGTAGAATGTCACTACTGACAAAAAAAGAGCCCCCCAAGAAGCCCCAAGAGGCCCCCAAGAGGCGTCCCAAGAGGCCACCAGGAGGCCAAAAGCATTGATTTCCGATGGGAAAACATATACATCTGGGAACTAGAGCACCGGGAGGCCTAAACTGATGGTTTTCCAAGGGTTTCGGAAGGATTTTGACCTTCTGGTTTCTTCGGTTGTACGACGCTCCAAGACGGCTCAGGAGGTCTCCAGCAGGTCCGCCCCCAAGCAGCCCCAGAGGCCCCCAAGACAAGCCCAAGGCGGCCCCGGAGAGCCCAAGGCTGGCCCAAGAAGCGCCCACGACAGCCCAAGAAGGCTCCAAAACAAGCCCAAGAAGGGCCCAAGAGAGGGACCGCGTACCGAACACCCAGGGCTCCCGCCTCAACAGTGACCCTGGAGGCCCCAGGCAGCCCCCGAGAGTCCTCCAACATTGCTCCAAACGCTTCCAATAGCATTGCCACGAGGGCCCCATCAGGCCAAAAATTAAGGGGTTTACACTAGTTTTGGATGGCCTTGGCCTTCTGATCTTTGCGGTTGCCCGACGCACCTAGGCGGCCCAGGAGGCCTCCGAGACCGCCCCCCGAACAGCTCCAGAAGCGCCCATGCAAGGCCGCCCCGAGGCGGTCCCGGAGAGCCCAAGGCTGGCCCAAGAAGCGCCCAGGGCAGCCCACGAGTGCCCCAAAACAGGCCCGAGAGGTGTCCAAGAGACGGACCGCGTCCGGAAAACCCAGGGCCTCCGCCTCAAGAGAGCCCCTGGAGGCCCCGGGTAGCTCCCAAGGAGCTTCAAACATGGCTCAAGACGCCTCCAGGAGCACCCCCAAGACGACCCCAACAGGCCCAAATCGTTCATCTTACGTAGGACTTGGAGGATCTTGGCCTTCTTGTCCTTTCGGCTTTCCGACGCTCCAATGGGGCCCAGCGCGCCTCCAGGTCCGCTCCCAAACAGCCCTAGGCGGGCCCAGAGAGCCCCAGGGAGCCCGCAAGACCAGCCCCACGCAACCCAAGAGCTCCTCGGCAGGATAGTCCGGGAGGGGGGAAGAGCGGGGGAGCCTCTGGCGCCCCATGCTCCGGGAACGCTCCTCCGGAACATGGCGTGCGAACGTGAGCGGCATGGTCGCCGTCGTCGTCGTCGTCGTCGTCGTCGTCGTCGTCGTCGTCGTCGTCGTCGAGTCGTCGGGCTTTCCGACGCTCCATTAATGGGCCCAGCGCGCCTTCAGGTCTGCTCCCAAACAGCCCTAGGCGAGGCCAACAATTGATGGTTTTACCATAGTTTTGGAAGGTTTTGGCCTTCTGATCTTTGCGACTGTCCGACGCTCCTAGGCGGCCCAGGAGGCCTCCGAGACCGCCCCCAAGCAGCTCCAGAAGCGCCCAAGGCCGCCCCGAGGCGGTCCCGGAGAGCCCAAGGCTGGCCCAAGAAGCGCCCAGGGCAGCACCAAGACAGGCCCGAGAGGTGTCCAAGAGACGGACCGCGTCCAGAAAACCCATGGCTTCCGCCTCAAGAGAGCCCTTGGAGGCCCCAGGTAGCCCCCAAGAGGCTTCAAACATGGCTCAGGACGCCTCCAGGAGGACGTTCCAATAGGGCCCAGCGCGCCTCCAGGCCCGCTCCCAAATAGCCCTAGGCGGGCCCAGAGAGCCCCAGGGAGCCCGCAAGACCGGCTTTACGCAACCCAAGAGTTCCTCGGCAGGATAGTTCGGGAGGGGGGAAGAGCGGGGGAGCCTCTGGCGCCCCATGCTCCGGGAACGCTCCTCCGGAACATGGCGTGCGAACGTGAGCGGCATGGTCGCCGTCGTCGTCGTCGTCGTCGTCGTCGTCGTCGTCGTCGAGTCGGCGGGCTTTCCGACGCTCCAATAGGACCCGGCGCGCCTCCAGGTCCGCTCCCAGACAGCCCGATGCCGGCCTAGAGAGCCCCAGGGAGCCCGCAAGACCGGCCCTGCGCAACTTCAGAGTTCTTCGGCAGGATAGGGCAGGATAGTCCGGGAGGGGGGAAGAGCGGGGGAGCCTCTGGCGCCCCATGCTCCGGGAACGCCCCTCTGGAACATGGCGTGCGAACGTGAGCGGCATGGTCGCCGTCGTCGTCGTCGTCGTCGAAGTCGTCGCGGTCGCCGTCTTCGGCGCAGAGAAGGCGCCACGAAATCCCGACAGGCCACCCCCAGAGGCACCGAGAGACCCCCGGGACGGCCCAAGAAACCCCCAAGAGGCCCCCAACAGGCTTCGAATAAGCCCCAAAACAGCTCCCAGGATGCTTCAAAACTGTCTCCAAGAGATCCACCAGGACGTCAAAGCCAAACACGAAAACGGCGTCGACGCCGACGAGGAAAACGAAAGGACGATGCGGACGCCGGCGACGACGAGAAAGCCGACGACGACGAAGACGACAACGACGACGACGACGAGGTCGACGATGACGACGACGGCGGCGCCGACGACTTCAGCTCTCTCTCCGAGGCCCCAGACGGCGCGCGCTGCGCGGAGCGCCCAGAGGAGGCGCAGAAAAGAGGGAGGAATAATAACGGAGAAAACAACGCAGCAGGACGATGTGGATCGGGGATATCCGCTCCCGTGTTCCAGAAGTGCGCTTCCGGAACACGTGGCTTGCAGTGCGCGCCGCGGTCTTCGAGGTAAGGATCTTCGCGGGCATCGCACCTGAGCGGTGACCTCAACTAGAAGCTGAGCGCGCGCGAAGCGCGCGCGACGGTTCCGTGTATATATATATATGTATGTATTTATATACATATATATGTTTGTGTATATATACATACATACATACATACATACATACATACATACATACATACATACATACATACATACACAATATCGGCGGCGTTCCAGGCCCGGGGGAGCTCAGCCCCATTCCACCATGGCGGTGCCAGGGCTCCAGGAGTTGGGGAGGGGGCCCCCCCGGTTCGAAGCCCCCACCCCCCCCACAGGAGGGGGGGAGGCACCGGTTCGACCCCCCCCCCCCCCTGAGAGGGGGGAAGGGGGGGGGGAAAGGGGCGGCTAGGGAGGCCGATGTCCGCTCCCCCCCCATTCTCAGGGCATGCTCCATGCGTTTGTTCCTCAATTCGGTTTGCCTACAGGGGTTCTTACTTGGTTAGAGGCTGGCGCCTCGGAGCGTTCCTTTGCCCGTTCCTCGGAGATACTTCGGGTTCCGTGCTCAATGCGTTTTTTCTCCACTTCGGCTTGCCTGAGGTTCAGGTTCTTACTTGGTTCAGGTTGGCGCCTCGGAGTGCTACTTTGCCCGTGCCTCGGAGATTCCTCGGGTTCCCCGCCCCTTATGTCTCCTATTGTTGCGTTGCCCGTTTCCCCGAGGTTCCTCGGGTTCTCCAGGTTCCTCGGGTTCCCCGCCCCTGGCGCCTCCTACTGTTACGTTGCCCGTTCCTGGGAGGTTCCTCGGGTTCCTTGGGCTCCTCGGGTTCACCGCCCCCAGTTGCCCCAAGCAATGCCAAGCAAGCAATGCCAAACCATGCAAACCCACACCAACCCATGCCAGACCATGCCAACCCATGCCAGTCCATGCCAACCCATGCCAGTACATGACAACCCATGCCAACCCTGCCAACCCATGCCCAGCAACGCCAAGCAATGCCAACACATGCCAACACATGCCAAGCACTGCCAGCCCATGCCAAGCAATTCTAATACATGTATAGCAAGGGCTACCCATGCCAAGCAAAGCAAACCCATGCCAAGCAACGCCAACGTATGCCAAGCCATGCCAATCAATGCCCAGCAATGCCAAACAATGCCACACAACGCCAAGCAATGTCAACCATGCCAAGCATTGCCAAGCAACAACAAGCCATGCCAAGCCATGCCAACACCTGCCAAGCAAGGGTGAAGGCGGGGTTCAAACCCCTCCCTACCCCCCTCCCGTGATGGTGTGGTGGTTGTTGCTGTTGTTGTTGGTGGTGGTGGTAGTTGGTGGTGGTGATGGCGGAGGTGGTGCTAGGTTGTGGTGGTGGCGGTGGCGGTGGTGGTGGTGGTATGGTGGTTTGTTGTTGTGGTGGTGGTGGTTGTGTGGTAGTTTGTGGTTGTGGCGATGGTGGGTTGTGACAGTGGTGGTGGTGGTGGGCTGTGGTGGTGGTTGTGGTGGTAGTGGTGGTGTGGTGGTGGTTTGTTGTGGTGGTGATGGTGGTGGTTGGTGGTGGTGGTGGTCGTGTGGTGGTTTGTGTTGGTGGTGGTTTGGGTGGTGGTGGTGGTGGTTGTGGCGGTGGTGGTGGTGGCGTGGTTTGTGGTGGTGGTGGTGGTGGTGCTGGTGGTTTGTGGTGGTGGTGTTAGGTTGTTGTGGTGGTGGTGGATTGCTATGGTGGTGGTGATGGCTGTGGTGGTGGTGGTTGTGTGGTGGTTTGTGGTTGTGGTGGTGGTGGGTCGTGGTGATGGTGGGAATGGTAGTGATGGTGGCGGTGGTGGTGGTGGTGGTGGTGGTGGTGGTGGTTGTGTGGTGGTTTGTGGTTGTGGTGGTGGTGGGTCGTGGTGGTGGTGGGAGTAGTAGTGATGGTGGCGGTGGTGGTGGTGGTGGGGGGCGTGGTGGTGGTGGTGGTGGTGGGCTGTGGTGGTGATGGTGGTGCTGGTGGCGCTTATGGTGGTGCTGGTGGTGGTCCTGCTGGTGGTGCTGGGTGGTGGTGGCTGGTGGTTGCTGGTGGCGCGTGGTGGTGGTGGTGGGCTGTGGTGGTGATGGTGGTGCTGGTGGTGCTGATGGTGGTGCTGGTGGTGGTCCTGCTGGCGGTGCTGGGTGGTGGTGGCTGGTGGTGGTGGTGGCGGTGTTTCTTGTGGTTGTAATAGTGGCGATGTAGTGGTTTGTGGTGATGGTGCGTTGTGGTGGTGATGGTGGTGGTGGTGGTTGTGGTGTGGTGGTTCGTGGTGGTTTTGGTGCTTGTGGTGGGTTGTGGTGGGTTGTGCTGGGTGGTGCCGTACATGGACAATATATCCGAACGCTGCGACACAAGATGTCCCCCGGACCCCCAAATTAATATTGGGGAGATGTGGCAATGAAGGGGGGGCTT